CTGCCCCTTTAAGAGTTTATCCACGCACCCAATATACTGTTACACAACATGCGTTCTCTTTCTCAACTATTTAACGTTCCAAAACTGACCGTGTTTACCTGGATACTCGCCAAGATGGGCATTTTGACATAAGAGACAGAAGAGAGCGAGAATGCGCGGCTGACGTTATTGCCTGTGCCACTGGTAACAAAACGGAGCCTGACCGACCGATCACCGATCCGGGCCGATCATGAGGAAAATCGGCCGATTCTGATCCCTGGCCGATCGATCGGTGTGTGTGTGTGTGAGTGTGTGTGTGTGTGTGAGTGTCTCTCTGTGTGTTAGTGTGTGCGTGCGTGCATGCGCGCGCGTGTGTGTGTGTATGTGTGTGTGAGCATGCGTGCGTGCGTGTGTTAGGGATATGCCGGTATCAAATTTTCATGTTGCAATTTATTGCTAATGCTTTTATCACGGTGTACGGTATTATCGCGATATTGAAATTTAGTTATAACAAAAATAATGAACATTTAAATGCAATGAAGCAATGCATTATTTTACACAGATTAAAGTGCAAAAGAATTATAAAGACCAATAGCTATCACTTTACAATAAGATCTCATTAGTTAACCTTAGTTAATGCATTAACATTCACAATGAGCAATAGCTACGTTTGCTAAAGAAGTTATTAATCTTTGTTAAAAATACAAGTCTTAGTTCATGTTAGCTCATTACATAACACAGTTGCAACTTTTGAGTTTAAATATTGGAATTACCTAAGATTAATGAATGTTTCATTGGCAGTTTATGTTAACTAATGTTTATTAATAGAGCCTTAATCTAAAAGTGTGACCAAACAATAAAGAATCAAAACTCTTTCAAATAATATCTAGGGCATGTTGTAGTACAGATTAAAGTTTGAAAATAAATAGCTTATTAAGTCTAAATATTTAAGTATTTGGTGCTGTGATGAACATCATAGTGAATACACAAATCTGAATGGCTTTTTTAAAATAATTTAAATATGTTTCAGAAACAGAATGTATATATATATATATATATATATATCAATAAGGCGTTTTTTAAATTTTATTAATACATTTATTCATCAAGGATGCATTAAATTAATAAAAAAGTGACAATTAAGACATAATAATGTTACAAAACATTTTTATTTCACATAAATGCTGACCTTTTGAAAGAAAATGAAAAGATTTTGAAGAAAATTGTCAAAGGAAAAGAAAAAAATATTTCCTGAAAAAAAAAAAAAATCTTTTTTGAAAAGATTCAGCTTTGCATCACAGGAATAAATTACATTTTTAAATATATTACAATAGAAAACAGTTATTTTATATTGTAAAAATATTTTACAAATTTTACGGATCAAATAAATGCAGTTTCTTTCAAAAAATAAAATAAAAATCTGCATTTACTTTTCAATACACAGGACTTACTGATGAAGTTTTCTGTTCATACGGTTAAGCTTACAATAGAAAACAGTTATTTTATATTGTAAAAATATTTTACAAATTTTACGGATCAAATAAATGCAGTTTCTTTCAAAAAAACAAAAAACAAATCTGCATTTACTTTTCAATACACAGGACTTACTGATGAAGTTTTCTGTTCATACGGTTAAGTGAATTCACTAAACAGCTGAGTCATGTTTGTGCTTACAGTACATTATTTACTAACCACCCACAAACCTGATTAGCACAATTAGTTCAGTGAATCATGAGTCAAATAAACAGCGTGATTCATTGTTAGTGATTCCCTCCAGCCAACATCACAATGATCTCTTTAGTCAGAAAACATTAATTAAAGAACTTTCTCATGATACTTAAAGTTTACTTCTTTCATATTCATTTTGTTCTGCTCATGACGTTGTCACTGTAAATCATAATCACAGTTTCTTCCACTTAAATCTTAACGGATTCAACGTCAAAAGTTTATGCATCTTACGACAGCATTTAAAGGGACAGTTCACCCATAAATGAAAACGATGTAATTTACTCACCCTCAAGATTTTACACACCTATATGAGTTTCTTTCTTCTGCTGAACACAAAAGAAGATATTTTGAAGAATGTTGGTGACCAAAACGTTGACGGTAGCCATTGACTTCCATAGTATTTTCCCCCCTACTATGGAAGTCAATGGCTACCGTCAACTGTCTGGTTCCCAACACTCTTCAGATTTTCTTCTTTTATGTTCCACTCAACTCGTACAGGTTTGTAAAAACTTAAATAATGACAGAATTGAAATCTTTAGGTGAACTGTCCCTTTAAACACCTGAATTTCTGTCTAAATCCCAGCGGTTTGAGATGAATCTCAGTGAGCCGTGCCGTGATGAAGTGCTTATTTCTCGTTGGCCTTTATGGCTTTATTTCCCGAGCTTTAACAGGCCACTTGTCCTTGAACCGGATGTCTCAGAGACGTCAGATGGAGCCGCTGCCAGTAAGTCACGGGTGTATTGGGATGTTGACAGGAACGCGAGAAGCCACTCCTGACTTCATTAAAGCCAGACGGATGACGGCCAACGCTGATAAATCATAAATGCTTAACAGTCAATTCCAGTTTCTATAGAAACAGAACAGTGTCGTACGTCTACGGTCAAACGCAATCATATCTTTACGCCGTCTAGGCCTCGTCACCGTATTAGCAGTGACTCAATCAAAATCCAGACGACTTCATCCCGTCTCTCTAAACCAATCTGTGCCAATTTAAAGGGATAGTTCACGCAAAAATATAAGTTCTGTCATCATTTATTCACCTGCATGTTGTTTCGAATTCATATGATTCACTTGCTTCTGTGGAACGTGAAATAAAATGGTTTTAAAGGGCATAAGATGACTGTCAAGCTTAAAAAATGCATAAAATACACCATAACATTATTAAATATAAATTATGCATTGTTACTGTATTTCTGATTTTTTCTGAAGTCACATCGGTGGTAAATAAAACAAAACGTTTATAAACTTTACATTCAAGTAATTAAACTTTAAATAATTACTATATAAGTCGAGACAAAAGCTGATGAGTTGGATCGTTGTGTATTAGTCACAGTTCATTATTACATTCAGAAATAAAGTACTGATAAATAAAACGTTTGCAAAATTACAAACACTATAAACATGAATTTTAGTTTTCATCTCTACACAAAAAAAATCCTTTAAATTTAATTGTATTCTGAGTAAAACGGGAATGAAAAATATACAGTGAATTCAAAACAAACAAATTATAATGGCATTAACTATAAACAGCATTTATTATAATGAAACTTTAAAGTGAAATAAATCACTTTTATTGCTTATAAATTGCATTGGTGTGTTTCAGATGATTAAAAAAACATAAAAAATGTAATTAAAATAATAATTATAAAGTTAAAGCAGTCAAAATAAAACACTTGCAAAAGATTAAATTCTTTATCTGAATGATTATTTTACTATTTTATTTAAATATTCATTTATTATTTAAATATTTTATACCTGCGTGTCATGTGACCATTAACTGACCGTTAACCATGGACATGAAAATGTGCTGTTAAATGATGAAAAATATTAACTTTTATTTTAAAATGTCAGGATGACTTAACATATTAGGCCTAGAGATGCACCGATTGCAATTGTCTTGGCCGATTACCGGTTTCCGATTTTTCGTTGGTGTGATCTGCCGATACCGATTTTTGCCGATTCCGATTTTCATTCTAAGAACTATAATTGACAGCATATACTAACAAAAATCGACTTTTCTTCAACGCAACGTTTTATTTTCATTTCTTAACATATTAGGCCTAGAGATGCACCGATTGCAATTGTCTTGGCCGATTACCGGTTTCCGATTTTTCGTTGGTGTGATCTGCCGATACCGATTTTTGCCGATTCCGATTTTCATTCTAAGAACTATAATTGACAGCATATACTAACAAAAATCTACTTTTCTTCATAAAAAGCTTCATGTAAAATAACACATCCAGTCTTCATTGTAAAAATTAAATACAGATTAATGCTTACCATTAAAGTTATAAAACGTATTCAGTCAAGAGCAGAAAGGTATTTTATTTGTCTTTTGTTCTTTGATTAATATGACAGACAGCAGCAGGAATATTGGACTGCTGCCCCTTTAAGAGTTTATCCACGCACCCAATATACTGTTACACAACATGCGTTCTCTTTCTCAACTATTTAACGTTCCAAAACTGACCGTGTTTACCTGGATACTCGCCAAGATGGGCATTTTGACATAAGAGACAGAAGAGAGCGAGAATGCGCGGCTGACGTTATTGCCTGTGCCACTGGTAACAAAACGGAGCCTGACCGACCGATCACCGATCCGGGCCGATCATGAGGAAAATCGGCCGATTCTGATCCCTGGCCGATCGATCGGTGCATCTCTAATTAATACCTAAAATACTTAAACATTAATATAAACGTGTTTGGTTGACAAAAGAATTGGAATCGGCTTTGTGTGAATTTATGTTGCTTTTACAAAATGGTTCTGTCCTTGACAGCATCGGCACCCATTCACTTTCACTGTATGGAAAAATAGTTCTTGTTCCACAGAAGAACTAAAGCCATTCGGATGATACATTTTTTTTATAAACATTTTTGGGTGCACTGTTCCTTTAAGTGAGTAAAAAGTACATACTTTGAGTTGTTTGACGTTTTAATTTTCTCCCTTTTTTGTCTTTCAGTTGTTTGTCTTTTGATCCACGTAACTCTAATCTGATTCTGCAGGTTGCTAACTGAATTTATAAAAGTAGGCAATCTGCAAGCTCTCCGCACGTTCAGGGTCCTCCGCGCTTTGAAAACTATTTCCGTAATCCCAGGTAAGCGCAAGGAGACAGCTCTCAGTGTCGCTCAGTGTCCAGTCCAACAGCTCGGGATTTGACCCGCATCCGGTTCTTTCCGCGCTGTGTCCTCTTTCCCGGCAACTTCCCGACATCCTGCTTCATTCTCCGCTGTGTTGTTTGCCTGTTGTTGGTGTTGTTGTCATTGTCTGTGCTCCGATTCTGGCTTCTTGCAGATATGTTACTGAGTTTGTGGACCTGGGCAATGTCTCAGCGTTACGGACATTCAGGGTTCTGCGAGCACTGAAAACGATCTCAGTCATCCCAGGTGAGAGCCGAGGCCTGCGGTGCTAATGGATGACCGAAACGCATTTCCGCCACTTCCAAAACACTCTTGGAAACGTGGAAATGCAGAATGTAGGAAATGAGACTTTTGAAATGGGCAACCAATCGAGTCAAAGAGCCGAACCAGCCGGTTTACCCAGCTAACAGAAAATAGCTTCTAAGAACGTTGTGCTGATTTTCTCGTTATGTTTTGAAAACACACTCAAAAAAATGTATTATACAACACTGTTCAGTTTATTTAAAAAACAATTGCATTGTGTTAAACTGACTTAAAACAGTTGCATTTTGGTTCAACTCAATATTTTCATTTTGAAGGAACATGTTTCAATTAAGTAAAACAAAAATTTGATGCTTGTTCGATTTACTTAACTAAATGAAGTTAACCCAACACAATTCTTTACAGCCACTTAATTTGTTTTACTTGTGTAGCTAGGGCGTGGATTTCCCCTTCCCATCATGCTTTGCACAGGGCTGGATAAGGAGAGTAAATGTTGAAATAAAACGTTATTTTATGCATTTTTAATCAGGATGATACAATTGGGAAACGTGTTAATGTTTCTTGCTGTTTTATGTTTGTATTTAGAAGAGTTATGTTTTGCGGGTTACGGTAAAGTGTAGAGTATGTGCTTGGGTTGAGGACCTGCTAACAGAAGTTAAAGGTGTTTTAATAATAAAAAACAACAATTTCGGGCATACCATGGATGTAACAAAGCCTTATGGTTAATGCCTAACAATTGAAACTTTACGGAGTAAAATTCGCTTCATAAATGTATCAATTTTATTGAAACTATATTTGATTAAATTGAGTTGGCCCAACTGAATTACATTTCATGAATTATATGTGCTTGGGTTGAGGACCTGCTAACAGAAGTTAAAGGTGTTTTAATAATAAAAAACAATAATTTCGGGCATACCATGGATGTAACAAAGCCTTATGGTTAATGCCTAACAATTGAAACTTTACGGAGTAAAATTGGCTTCATAAATGTATCAATTTTATTGAAACTATATTTGATTAAATTGAGTTGGCCCAACTGAATTACATTTCATGAATTTGTTTTTTACGAGTTGGGGCTACACATATTTATTGGACGGAAATCCTGCTCTCAATTAAATTGAGTTCATCCAATAAATATTTTTTTCTGAGCGTTCTAAACATCCAGTTTTAAAAACTAAAGGAAACATTTAGGAAACGTTACAGAAACATTCCATTTGCAAACATTGTAGGAATGTTACTTTTGAATGTTCTCTAAACATTCTGAAAGTTGTTACATTTAAAAAATGTCCAACTAATCAGTTTCAGGAATGTTCCATGAACAATATACAACTAATGCTTTTGTTCGAATGTTTTGAGAATATCATTAAAGACCAGATCACTTTAAACGAGCGTTACTGGTATAGAACGTTTGTTTATTTCATAAATGTATCAATTTTATTGAAACTATATTTGATTAAATTGAGTTGGCCCAACTGAATTACATTTCATGAATTAGTTTTTTACGAGTTGGGGCTACACATATTTATTGGACGGAAATCCTGCTCTCAATTAAATTGAGTTCATCCAATAAATATTTTTTTCTGAGCGTTCTAAACATCCAGTTTTAAAAACTAAAGGAAACATTTAGGAAACGTTACAGAAACATTCCATTTGCAAACATTGTAGGAATGTTACTTTTGAATGTTCTCTAAACATTCTGAAAGTTGTTACATTTAAAAAATGTCCAACTAATCAGTTTCAGGAATGTTCCATGAACAATATACAACTAATGCTTTTGTTCGAACGTTTTGAGAACATCATTAAAGACCAGATCACTTTAAACGAGCGTTACTGGTATAGAACGTTTGTTTATAACGTTGAGAAAACCTTGTCACAACGTTCTGAGAACGTTCCCTGCTAGCTGTGGCCAAAACCTCTCTAAAACCATCAAACCAGAGCAGACTTGTGGAAACCATCTTGGTGTTATTTATTTATTTTTCAGCAGGGTTGAATGATATTCAAGTAACTGCCATAGAGTGAAATAGTCTGGTTCTCGAAGTAAATCTCCATTCATTTTCTCCTCAGGGAAATTTGTCATTTTTAACGATAACTGTTCAAGACAGACCGACTGTGAGCTCTGAGGTTGTTAATAGATGGCATATGCTGTAGCTGAAACCATCTGTTCGCATTATTTCAACTTATTTTTAAAGTAATAGTGCTTAACAACTGAATTTGTGGTGAGAAACTACATTACCCATGATGCTGTACAGAAAATTCCACCAATCAGAGAGTCGCACTAAAATAACTCCGCCCTCTCTCTCTCTCTCTATAATTAACATATCAGTTATTGTTTTTTTTTTTTATAAATGTAAAGAACATCTTTAAATTAATAGTGTTATATTTCTTAATTGTTT